TGTGTGTGTGTGTGTGTGTGTGTGTGTGTGTGTGTGTGTGATGCTAACAGTGATTGTTGTTTTGTAGCATCGCGGCTTCAGAACAATGTGAGTGAAGTATTTCCGGTAGTTCGAGTTTAAAGCTCGATGCTTCCTGTCGGTTGAAGTCAGTAAATACAACCTCTTCATGTTCTCTTTGCATATTTTCTTCTTTCTTCTCTTTATATATTTTCTTCTTTCTTCTCTTTATATATTTTCTTCTTTCTTCTCATTATATATTTTCTTCTTATTCTCGTTGTATATTCTCCTCCACGCTCTTCCTCGTCTCTCGGAGTCTTCTCTCCACGGGGACTCACCTGACCGTCTCGTGGCTGAAGCCGATCTTCGCGGTGTTCGCTCCGTTGTCCAGAACTAACGTCGCCATGAAGACACACGCACGCACACGCACACACACACGCGCACACACACACACTCTTCAGTCCGCCATGACGCTGAGCCTCTCCTGCAGCCAATCAGCGCCTTCCGTTAGTCTGGTGTCGTCACGGCTGATGCAGTGACACAACCAATCAGATGTGACCTTTTGGGTCCGTTTAGGAAAGTGTCCGGGTGGAAACAGGGTTTGCGTCTACTTCCGGTTGTGCGCCTCCTGAAATAAATGTAATAAAATGTTCGAATTGAAAGAAACTGTCAGATGTTAAAGATTTAAGATTTAAAGTCATTTCCCTGTTTCCTCAACGGAATCTTTACTAAGATTCAACTAAACACTAATACATATACATTTCCTCTTTTTATTTTGATAAAAGGAACATTTACACGGAACTCTTATTTTGTTACTGTGAGACATTAACTGTATAAAACACACAAAGAAAACACTTTAATTAAGAATGAAAGGAGATCGACGTCTGTCCCAACACAAGAGAATCCTGGGTAAAAGACGTCAAATCATAGATTTCATGAAATGTCCCCTCATGTATTTATGTTCACCTCCCGGGCACTGCTGAGGGGCCCATGAGCAAGGCAACCCCCCAATTGCTTGCAGGACGCTTCTCCGGGGCTGCTCATCACTCTACCCTCTCTCTCCATATTTGCATGTCTATGAGCCCTTTGTGTGTGTGTGTGTGTGTGTGTGTGTGTGTGTGTGTGTGGGATTGTGGGTTCAAAACTGCACGTATGAATAAAAATGAGTGTAAAAAGAATTTCAATAAAGTATGTTTTCTTCTTCTTCTTCATGTATAAAATAAAAAGGTGTAAATTCAAATTTCTTTGAATTCATCATTAAAGCTCAGGTGAGTCAGATTCAGGTGAAAGAATCTAATGGCAGAAATTTAATGATGAAGAATCCTCACGATGTTTTCACGAGTTTGTTTCATCTAAATTGTTTGAATTGTAGTTTTCTTTACCCCAGAAAATACCTTTA